AACCAGTTCGTGGAGTCATTAATTCTAAGAACCGGTGCGAACCGGCTGAATCCCACCACTGCATACACATTCATCATGATTAAAACGTTACAAGAATGATGAGTTTGACTAAGATCTTCGATTTCACACTGTTTTTTCTTCTGTAGTTGTAAAATAGGATACACTTGATTGGTTTAACCCTTTTTTAAATTACTTTTCATTATGAACTATAGTGTTTAAGTAAGTATCAAAATGAGAAATCTCAGCACATAGATATCGCCATTCTAAATGTGGAAAACAAAGAGAATGTTATCAGATATCATATCAATACAATGATAATAAAATCGATACATAAACAAAATATAAGAGATATTATTAACATATGCAACATCTTGTTCAGTTCAGTACATCTGCACTAATGTTTGAGATCCACTGTTTAAATTTCTCCAATTCTGTTGAAGAAACAGTGATACCTTCCTGAATTGGATATAGTTTTCCTTTTCAAAAATCCTTGAACAGTCAGATATGAATATTTAAATTATTATCGTAATATCATAGAGTGACGTAACGGTCATTCCCAATAGGATAGGCATGAGATTATTCGGGTGAAATATAAAATAATATAATTAATAAACCTCATCAACGTTATTTATTAATATAATCAGTTGTGGGATTCAAATATTTTAACAACAGGTTCTCTCACTAGCAGCATGTAGAAATATTAGATATTAAAAAAAAGGAGGGGCCAGAAAGCCCCCCACCCATCACTGAGAAAATAAAAATACGATTGTTAACAACCGGTTCGTGGAGGTCATTAAATTCTAATAACAGGTTCGCACGAACCGGTGCGAACCGGCTGAATCCCACCACTGAATATAATGAATATGACTGAAAACGAACATTACTGTGTGAAAGAAACACAAACTGCTCATCACACCTGGTAATGCACAGTTGCGTGTTCAGTGTTGCAAAGAGCACAGGCTATGGACTACCGCAGTGGAGAAATGTGATTTGGTCAGATGAACCATCCTTCAACATGTTCGCGACAAATGGTGCCAACCTTAGAACTCTACAGTCCTGAGTGCTTGGTTCCAACAGTGAAGGGTTCTGGTGTCTTTCTAATGGTGTGGGGTGCATTTTCCTGGCATGGTTTGGGTGCACTCATACCCTTAGAACGTAAGGTCGATGCCAATCATTACTTAATAATACTGAGTGATCATCTTCACCCCATGTTACAGCATTTCTGTCCTTTCAAGATGACAATGCCCCCATCCACAGAGCATGAGTAGTCGCCCAATGGTTTGAGGAGCCTGGCCTTCTCAGTCACCAGATCTGAACCCAATCAAGAACCGGAGTGACGTCTGAGACAGCACTTTCCATTTCTATCAACTAGGCGTGAGTTGATTGACTTTCTCGTGGAAGAGTGGTGTTGCATTCCTCCAGCAGAATTCCAGACACTGGTAGACTCTATGCCATGGCACATAAAGGCTGTACTGGCCACATGTTGTGGTCCAACACCCTATTAAGTGACTTTACAGTGGTGTGACAGGAACTAACTTTTTAATAGTGTGTATTGGGCTAAGGATTCTTCTACAGTAGATGTCTATGATAATAAACGAACAGCACACACACTCCACATGGTTTTTAAATAATATATATAGATATTTGAAACAAGTTAAATGTATACACAAAAATTATTTACACTTTGGAGATCGTAGTTGTATCTTATACACTATACAGTTCTCTTCTTTTCAAAAGTCCACTTAGGCCAATTTAATTGCTTTCGAATTCAGTTGACAAGCCAAACTGTTCTTCTCTATTTCTTATCGCTATAATGTCCGTGTATAGTTTACTTACATTGTCTTTTAGTTACCACATTTGTATCCTGAACTTTCAATAAACATCTGCTTTTTTTTTCATACTCCCAGTAATCGTCTGGTCTTCCTACCTCCAATAATTGCTGCTGCTGTCCAATTAGGCAGGTTCAATTGCTTTAGAACACCCTTTGATGAGACAACTTATTCTTCTTGTCTCTTTCAAAATTGTAAATCTCACTCTAACATATCAACCGTTAGGCCTTTCACTATCACGACAGTTAACTTTAAATTTAACTCTGACCAATCTTCTATTTCGGAGTGAATTTACTTTTTCTCTCAGTTTCTGCTCATCTGGTCACTGTTATTTTATACGTCTATCACTTAAGCCTTCTAGAAATTTCCATAGCCTTGACATTAATGAATTACAGCCACAAAATAAATTAATTAATAATACTACCAACACTAAACAGTCTTTTATATCTGACATAGACCTTCTTCAAGAGAAATATTTACAATATTTTTTCACTATACACAAAGACTGTTTTCAGCTCATTCACAAAGTCTACTCATACAGTCTGCACCAACATTTGCAGTCCACTTGATGGCTTCAATGCAGAACCTGTAGTTCTGAAGGTACAACACCCACGTCATGATTCTCGCATTGTTGATTTTGCACCTCTGATTGTATGCAAGTGGTTGTTGGTCTGTTTGTGTAATGAACTCTTTCCCATATAGAAAATTCTATAACTTCTGAATGGCAAGTATGATGGCCAGACACTCGTTTACTCAATCACATAGTAGTTCTTCTCACTACTTAACAACTTTTCACTTATATATATTACCAGAAACCGTTCATGTTCTTGTAAGAGTACTTCCAAATTCCAATGTCTGAAGCATCAGCCCAGAGTCAGATTAAGGGTCTATGAGGCCTGAAGCTGATGACTTCCAGCGGGCCTAGTCACACTTGTTCATAATACAAGCAAATAAAGTGGCCATTCAACTTTAGATCTACTAAGCTGTCATCAGATTAATATTATTTCAGAAAATGGCAATAATTATTAAAGACAAAGTTTGTTTGTAGTTAAGCACAAAGCTGCACAATGGGTTATCTGTGCTCTGCCCAGAATATAACTGAGGGGCTATTAACAACAACTAACTTAATACATTTGTACAGAAGACAAAACTGGAAATCAATTTCAAGTTTTCATCTCAGTCTAGTGCGGATATAGAATTCTTTGAAGGGCTGGGTTCAGACTTAGAAAGGGATACACATATAAGAACAATAACAAATTTGTGATTTTAAAATGTATATTTGTGACTTAACAATCTGAAATGAATGCAGAAGTGTGTGAGAGGAAATTCGCAGGTTCGATTAATTGTCAACATTGAAAATATAGGTTTTCATAATATACTTGTTTTAAATTTCTGCTTA